AGGGCACAGCTTCTCAGGGCATGGGCCTCTTCTCATCCTCCACCATCAGCAAAACCTCTTCCACAGCCAGCCTGGAAAGAGGACTGTGACTGCTGGTGTGCAGCACCCCACCCTGCCAAGGTGGGACAGGGGGGTCCTGGGCAGGAGGCACCTCTCCCACTGCCAGTGGCTGTGCCCTGGAAGCTTCTTGCTCCTTTTGGATGACAGAGATGTAAGGTTTCACTGAGTGACAGCCAGGCATCCCCCGTGGCAGAGATGCTGCTACGATCGATCGATGCTTTACTCAAGTTGGTTGTTGAAGCATCTGCAGTGCCCTGATGAGCTCTGCTTTCTCCTTTTTGTTTCTAAACAGTGTTTAGTTCTTTCAAGGATGGCCATGAGATGTGAAAAGCGTCTCTGGTAGCATCTGCTCTCAGTGTATATTTAACCTCAGCAGTGAAAACATGTCTGGTGTGGAGATGCAGTGGGGAGGCTGCGGCTGTGCCGCCGTTCTCCAGCGTTATTTTATCTCAGAAAGGGAATGTTGACTGTGGTGGATCATTGACACTGCCTTTGTTAATATCTTTGTTTCTATTTCTGGGCTTTTAATGAAAGCTTGGTAATTTTGTGCTGCAAGGAAGGGCAGCACATCAACTGTTTTAAAGCCATCTTTGGTTTGATGTACAGTAATCTTTTGATGCAGTGGATAATGCAACTTCTGTCTGTATAGCTGGGGTTTGTTGCTTTTGTTTGGGGATTTTTGAATTTGTCTTTAAATGAGTTACCTCTACACCTCTCAGCGACTGAGAGAAAGGCCAGGAAAATCTCATTTTGTGTATATTAAAACTTAAGATTCACATCAAATGAAAACCCGGTGGGTGAAAGAGCGATCCTTTCTTTATACTGTCACCTCAAATACTCCTTGCCTATGAATTTCAATCATCTCGATTTAGCCTTGTGTGTTTTAACTGTTTAGTAGTGAAACTTCTCCAGAGTGTGGGGAGGAAACAACATCCTCACAGCTGAGGGAGATCCGTAGCAGCTCTTTGCTGCTTTAATTATTGCAGCTCTGCAAACGTGCCTGGCCACGGTGGTGAAAGAGCTGCTGGGACTGGAGGAAACGTGGCTTGTGGATGTTTCCAGCCTGGCAGAGCCGGCCATGTGCTGAGGCCTGGACTCACCTGGTGCTGGGGCAGGGCAAACATCATCCCCAGGCTCCTCCAAAGCTCCCTATGGATTTGGATGGCTTGTTCCTCCCTACAGTGCAGGCTGCTCCCTGCCTTCCCCAGCTCACTGTCACACATTTCACTCCACTCATCTTCGCTGTAGCTTCTACTCTTAAAGAGAACTCTCTCTTAAGGAGGACGCTCTCCGGCGCTCTCCTCTTCTGGAAAGCTGTTTTTCCTTTGGCCAGGAGCACGCGGGTGCTGCCACGGGGCCATGTCAGAGTTTCCTCTTCCTTCTGGCCTCTTCCCCGAGGTTGCCGGCCGCCCTCCCCCTGCTCGGGGGGAGGTTCTCCAGCCTGACACCCGGCTCCAGCAGCCTCCTGCTCCTGCCTCCGATAAATGCCAGTCTTCCTTGAATCCCTTCCAGCCGAGCTCTGCTTACAGATGTTCCTGCGAGCTGCTCTGGCAGTTTTACTGGGAGCCTGAGCAGATATGAAGGTTGCCAAGAGTTTATGCTTAATTGTGAAGTGGAACAGTGACAAACTACTTTTATTTTGAAACTAAAATTTCTTCTGTTATCTTGCTGGCTGGGGCCAGTAGTAGTGTAGGGTTTGACATGGGCTGAGCTTAGAGCTCCTGTGCCTCGTAGTGAACTATCCCTTCATTAGGGTGAGGATGAGGATGGATCCATGAGGATGTCCCTTCATTCCATTCCCCCCTGCTTTTCCATGACTGTGTTTGTGATATCCTTTCGAAGTCAGTTGTACCAGGTCAGGTTATTAATCCCCAAAGTGAAAATGATCTCCCCTTTCAGATCAGCAGTTCAGATCTCGAAGACACTGTCTTGGACACTGCTCACTGCATCAGTTTAACCCATGTGCCTTCATCCCAGCTCTCAGAGGTCGAGGACCTTGTTCAACACAACAAAATCAGCCCGGGGACATCCCCAAGCCACTCACATCCCTCCCTGTCCCTCCTGCCTCTCCTTTTCCCACGGGCAAGTGCTACTCTTGAAGGCCACGAGACAGCACTCTGGTTTAAAAAGCTTTCTCTTTTTTTCAGGCGAGTGATCAGTTTTGAGGCCTGGCGCCCTGTCAGAAAGTTGACAGATGATCTGCATTACCGGTGCGTCCCCGGGATGCCCGGGATAATCGCGCTCCAATGGACGCCCTGGAGCCGGCAGGTTCTCTGTGAAATGGCTGCAGTGGAGGGAGCAGTGAAATGGGCTCTTCTGGGCATGCTCACTCTGTAGAGGGAGCTTTATCACATGAGCAGAAACTGAATCACTGCTCATGAGGATCTGGAATATGCAACTCTTGGAGTCTTCACCAGAAGAAGACAGCAGCTGCCCGCAGGTACCGCAGGGTCCATCCGCCTCCTGTGCCCGGCGAGGCCCTGGCAGGGCAGGCTGGTCCTGCCGGGGAAGGAGAAGCCTGGAGAGGAGAGGAGAGGAGGAGCAGAGGCCGGGGAAGCATGGCCGGGGTTGTTTGTTCGTTTGTTCGGATATCCCCGCGCGTGGCTGCCCGTGCTGGCGGGCTGGGTGGCCCATCCTGCTGGGATGGCCCATCCTGCTGGCATGGCTGCTCCGTGGGCTCCGAGCGGCCTCGGTGCCCAGCAGCGCCGCCGGCAAACCTCGGGCTTTGTTTCCTCGTGCCTTTCCTTTGGCTCCTGGGGTGGGGAGGCTCGCTTGGGGTTGGTTTGGTTTTGGGTTTTCTTTGGTTTTTTTTTTTTGGTGTTTTTAGGATTTGTTTGTGCTTTTTAAGTGTGAAGTTTCTGGAAAATTCTCCAAGGAGCCCTCCCTGCTTGTAGCTCTTAGAAGAAAAAGGCACAAAGCCTGGGGTGCTCGAGCTGCTTGAAGACTGAACTAAAGGGGAGGAGAGGGCCTGTGGCCACATGGCACCTCCTCACTGGGTCTCTTTTGACAGCCTCTGCCTGTGGCTCGCTTGGGTGGAGGCCAGAGCTAACAGTATTTTACCAGGGAGAAGCAATCCTTTTTATTTTGGGGTGACTTCCTCCCCTCTCTCTTCTTTTTTTTCTTTTTCTTTTTTTTTTTTTTTCATAGTAGCAATCCAAGGAAACATCTGATTAAAAGGCAACATCCCTGGTTGATTTCATGGCAGGAGGTCCATGCCTGCAACATATTTTAAAACTCAGCCCCCTGGGTCTGCCCTTGGGATTTTTTTTTTTCCTCTGTGATTTGTGTTACATGCAAGAACTCTGTTGGCTGCCACAGACCTCAGTGAGATTTGGGATGGACACAGAAGGTCCCAAGGCCTTGAAAGGCACGGACACCCCTGCAGAACACTGGCCTGAGCTTGCTGTGCTCTGGGGAGACCCTCAAAGCTGCAACGCAGACACAATATTGAATTTTCAATCAAGGAGCAAGATGTGAAGATGGCATTTAAAAGATTAGAGAGCTTACACAGGACAATCTGTGATACCTAATCTAAATATCTGTTGTGTTTCCACTGGACTATAAATGTGCTTGTTGTTCATCATTCAGAAGAAAAGGAAAAGGCATGAGCAGTCACGAGGAGAGAGCTGAGATTTCTCTTTAACACTGAAGAGCTGAGGCCTTGACCTGCTGCCTGAGCAGCTCCACCCAGGGAGAAAATGGGCTCTGGGCTTGATGAAGGCTGAGGAGACAACCAAAAACCCACTGAGGTGTGGGAGCTGTGCTCCTGTGTGGTGGTGACACTGGTGTGGCACCAGCCAGAAGCGCCCAACGCTCTGTCCCTGCCGGCTGGGGCCCTTGGGAAGCGTCTGCAGAGACACAGAAAAGCCTGACCTACTTTGGAGGGAGGAGAGCTGCCGAGGTCTGGGTTTGGCACTGCTTCTCAGCAAGGGTTAAGAGCCCAAAGTGGGGCCTTTGGGTCTTGGTTTTGTTCTGTTCCATGTATTTAACTGACTGTGCGGTGCCAGCACGAGCTCTTGCCCTCATCCCCGAACATGTTTGGGTAGAACTAGGCTCTGTGGCACACATAGGGCATATTCTTGCAGCTCAGCCTCTGTGAGACCAGCCCTGGGCAGGAGGCAGCTCCATGACCTGTCTCCCAGGAGCTCTCTCCCATCTCCTAAGGATGCCATCTCCTAAGGAAAGAGTGTTGTGTGCACCTCATGCAATGGCAGTGAGTTGTTTTATTCAGGTAAACAAGGAGTTTTAAGGAGCTTCACTCTCCTGGCCAGCTGGTTTGGGGGAGGGCTGGCTTGGTTCCTGCTGCTCCTCTTTGTTTTCCTTTTGCTGCTTTTCCCTGAAGTTTTTCCTTCTTGCCTTCCCTCTCCTGGGGCTGAGAGTGGTTGAGGAATGGCCGTAGCGGGAGAGTGACCGTGAGTTGGGGTCAGCCCAAAGGCTCGGGGCACTGATGGCGTGTGCTCCCTGCTTGCAAGCCTTGGAGGACCATATGTTCCTGCAGTGACATGGAATGTCAGTGATTTGGAAACAAATCCCTGAGTTTATAACCCTCTACTCCCATTTTTAGCCAGTTATTTTTTCTGACTCCTCTGAATTCAGAGTTTTGACACCAACCCCTCTTTGCAGACCCTTATGGCCTCTCGTGTTTCCAGTGGGATTTGTCCGTCTTGTGCCTCTGTGAGCTCCTTGGTCTCTTGGGTGGAGGATGCGTGTCTGGCTTTGCTGTAGGGTGGTGTTAGTCCTGGAGGGGGGCAGAGGAGGAGGGCAGCCTGCCAGGATTTACAGTAGTCAGGAAAGCAGCAGGAGTGAAGCTCTCAAACTGTACAAGCTAATTGGAAAGCATCCATTAGAAAAAAGAAAAGGAAAATATAGAAAAGGAGAAAATGTTGAGCAAGCTTTTAAAAAATATTCTGGACTCCAACACAACAACTTGCATCCTCCAAACCGGGTCATTTATTTGTGTTTTTCCTTCAGTCCCCATCAGGAGGGGGAAGGACGTGGAGAAGGGTCGAGGCAGTGGGGGTTAAGAAGGTCTGACATGCAAGTGTCCTCCCTGCAACACTGCCATGCTGTGCCTGAGCAGCACAGTGGCTCTTGCAAAGGAAGCTTTTCACAACTTGTCCTTGTTCCAAGGATGAGGAAACCTCCAGCTCTTCTGGCATTTTCTCTCTGTCGTAAGTCAGAGCTGCTTTCACCTGTGAAGTATGATCAGCACAGACAGGGAGAAGGCTGGAACAGAGCGGGGCTCTGAGCAACCTTGCAAGGCTTTTCATGGAGTTCTTGGTGTTAAATGAAGAACATTTCCCCTCCTCCTCTCCTCGTTTTCCTGTGTGCCTGCAAAAATACTCTGGTTTGCATTTAAAGGAGAAAACTGTATGTGCTGGGACTAAGCCAACTTGTTTATTTAAGGGAAATACCATATTTCCAGCCCCTTCTCTCACAGAGGAAGGCTCGGCAGAGGATGGCAGACTGGGCTGGGGATTATATTTTTAGGTGTCATCGAAGCACAGTTGTGATTTGAAGAAGCTAAAAATCATGGCTGGCATTTTGCATCGAGCCCTGTGAGTTCCTCCTCCCCACAGCTCCCACAGGGGTTAACCTCTCCCTCCAAAGCACGTGGATTTTCACCTAAATCAAAGAGCAAAAAAGGAGAAAAAAGAAACAAAAACCATCAGAAAAAACAACAAACCCATCACCATCACCCCCCAGGCTTCTACTTTGCCATGCTTTCGCCGTTTGCCTGCCCCCAAGGGGGTGTTTGTGGCGGGGGCCGGGGCTCTGGGCAGGGACCCGGGCCCTGTGTCCCTGTCAAAAGATGGCAGGTCCGTGTGTCCGTAAACAATGCGGTTATGAAATGGCAGCGCGGCCGCGCTGAGCATGCTCGGGAGCTGCCTGTAGGGGGAGGCGAGCCAGAAAGATGATCTAATTCCGTGCAATTCTTGGGATTGAAGGAAAAGACCAGGCTCCACTCTTAATGACAGAGCAGAAAAACCAGGCCCCACGCCGGGGACGAAGCCCGTAGGCCATGGAGGAGAGGGTGTGAGGATCTCCCACCTCCAGGACTTCGGGTGCTGGGCAGCGCTGTGTCGCTTTCTCGCCCTCCAGCAGAGTAAGGCCTTGGTGAGGTTTTGCTGTAGTTATTAGAGGGACAGGCCCGAGGGTGCAAGTTTTATGATTATGATTATTTTCATTATTATTTTGTCTTTTTTTCCCCTTCCTTCTCCCCATTCGCTTTCCCGGCTCACAGGCACCGCTGTCTCGCTGCTTGGCCGCTCGATGGCCGGAGGTGACCCAGGTGGAGGTGGCGTGGGCAGCTCAGCCAGGCCCTCGTGGTCCCATGGGAACCCACGAGAGGCTTTCCCTCCTCTGCTGCCCCATGTGCCCTTTGGCTGGGCACCATGGGCATGGGCAGGGGGACAGGGACCTGCTCCGCTGGCTGCAGTGCCTTGGGGTGGGAGGAAGAGGAGCGTGGGGGCTGAAGAGGTACCTGAGCCCTGTTGATGGGGGTGAGCTGCCTCCCAGCTCCCCTGCCCTGGACTGCTGGAATCTGCTGGCTCCAGGCTCCTCTTGGTGCTCTGGTTTTGTCCTGGCTCAGCCAGTTCCTGGGGACTGGGTGTTTCTGAAATGGCTGGTTTGCTTTTGCTAGGGATAGTGATGAATCTTGGTCTCCATTTTAGGGTTTTCTTCCCCCCCTCCCCTCCTGGGGCCTAGGAGAGGGCAGGCAGCAGCTGGACTCCTTGCTACCCTCAGCCTGTGGAAGGAGGGGACGCCTTTGTCTGCTCTGGATTTACATTTGCCTGCACACACAAGTTGCACTGGCTTTAACTCTACTGGGATGCAGCTAGATGGGCCTGGAAGCAGTGAGGAACTGTAAATCGATCTCCCATTTCCAAGAGGGCACGGGCTCTGCAGACCCCCCTTGCCTGAAGCCTGCACGCCGTCGTGGAATGCCTTGTCTTGGGAGAAGTCACTTTAAGTCCTGTTGTGTTTCATGCACGTGTCTGTGTTCCCAGCTGTTGCATGCAGGGACTTGCACCTCTTTCTGTGCTTCCCCCCTTCTCAGGGAGTCGACGTGTGCGGCTGGAATAGGAGAGAGGACATGGGGGTTGAGGAGGAAATGTTTCTTTTCTATGGAGAATACACTGGATGAAAGGATTGCAGGAGACAAAAGAATTGCAAAGAATTTGATTTGGGAGGAAACTTCAGGCTGAGGGCAGTGCTTGTTGTGAGCTGCAGATAAAATTCCATGTTCACATGATTGCATGAGGCTTATAAGGAAGTGGCCTTAGCCTGAAAAAAGGAGCTTTGAGACTGGTGACTGCTTTGTAGGCCAGGTATTCTGGTGGTTGTGTTTCCTTCCTTCTCCAGATCAAATGCTTCTGTTGTTTCTAATGACAGGCCCGTGGTCAGTGTCCCCAGGAGCCTTGAGCCCAGGCCTTGCCCAAGCACAGTGCTGAGATCTGCAATGAGCAGCCTCTCCGTGCCTACAAAAGAAACACTCTTTCTACAAGCATTCTCTTAATCATTACTTCCTATATAATTAACTACAAAATGTTTGTCTTCTTTTCAACGCAAAGGTTATTATGAGCAGGCTGGTTTGGGTTGTGTTATTTCAATTTATATTTTTTTTTAGGAGAAGGAGGGAAAAAATGAGTGAATAAGAATCTGCTGCTGCTGGGGTTGCATCATTTGTTGAGAGATTTGCCTCTGCCTTGCTCCAGCGTTGCTGCAGCCCTCATTTTCCTGGCTGGTGGGAGCTTTCCCTGGGGCTGTGTCCTGAGTGGGGTCTGGTGTCACCTCGGAGGGGTTGGTGACCAGCTGGAGGCTGTGTCCAGGCAGGATCAGTGCTGTCCATCCCGCAGAGGTGTTGGTGCACGCGCTGCCCCGGATGGGAACAGGCATTTGAGGGGTCTCCTGCTCCCAGCCCTCTTCCAGATGGACCTGCTGTGTGCACAGCTCTGCTCACAGTAACGCTGCTGCGAGCCTCGGGTTCCCAGACCGTTGATTTTTAAGACATAAAAAAAAAAAAAAAAAAAAAAAAAAAGACCCTGGTGAAGGTAGACATCTTGGCACCTCAGCCTGCGCTCCTTCCCGGGCTGCCGGGAGAGCAGAGAGCTCGGGCTCATGATGTAACTCTGGTCCCTTGGGCTCGGTAAGCTGCAATATGTTGGAGTTTTGCTGTGCATGTGTTGTCTTTGCCTATAAAACCTGTTTGGACCTTTGCGAAGGGCACCCGGATGCCTGATGAAAATACCAAGGAGAGGAGGCTGCGAAAGCTCTTTCTGTGTTTCCCAGCTTTGTTCTTTTTCTCTTCTTTTCCCTTTTTCTTTTCTTTATTTTTTATGGGCTTTGTTTTTTTTCTTTTTGGTTTTTTTTTGTTGTTGTTTGTTTTAAAGGCACCACTGTAGTTTGTAGTCATCATCTGTTTGGAAATGCTGCAGAGCCTTTCCTTGGCCGGTCTGACCTGTCTTCCATCCCCTCCAAAGACCTCATGGAGGAGAGGAAGCTTGTTTTCTTGTAAACAGAGGCAGAGAGGAAAAAACTGAACCAGCAGTAGCTCCTCTGCTTGGCTCCTCATGGCTCTTAAAGCTCTTTCAAAGACCCAATCAGTCTTTCTTCAGATGCACTAATTTTTTCTACCCTTTGAAACCTAAAAATTAAGGGTTGGGCGGGGGGTGGGGGGGCAAGAATGCTTCGTGGCTGGTTGTGCGTGCTCTTTATGGAGGTTCTCCAGCCACGGATGGTTAATAATCACTCTGGGGTGGGCGAGGGAATGGAGGCAGACGGCTGCGGGAAAGGGGGAAAGGAGGAAAAAAAAAAAATAAATGGAGCGAGTGAGACTTTTATTGTGAAGCAGCGTGTGCTTGGCAGTTGGCTTTGTTGGGACTGCTGCAAGAGCAGACATTGCTCGGCGGGGAGGGTGGGTATAGGATTTCCCTGCCAATCGGGAGCGGACGGATGGGGCATGGGGAGGGTGAGCAGAAAGGGAAGTTTGCTCTGGATTTAAGGGAGGGGAGGGCAAGGAAACCCAACACACGCTCACACACACACACGCGCACACACACAAAAGCTGGAGGTATTGACACTTGCGGTGGAGTTGGTGCTAAGTTGGCTGGGTGGAGCTGGGACGGAATGAATGGTGCTGGGTGCCCCATGGGTGCCCCATGGGTGCCCCTGGGAATGAATGGTGCTGGGTGCCCCGTGGGTGCCCCATGGGTGCCCCATGGGTGCCCCTCGGGGCTGGGCGCCGGTGGAGCAAGGACGGGAGAGCGCTGGCCTGGGGGGACGAGGCTTCGACGGCTCTGCAGGGGTTTCCTGTAGCTTCCTTCTGATCAAAATGCTTCAAAATTCACAGTTGGCTTTTAATCTAATTTTTATTTTCAATTATTCTTTTGTTTTCTACCTTGATGCTGAGTTTTTGTTGGGAAGTTGTAACGTTGTTGCCTCTGCTAGTGAGGGGTTTGTCTCTGAGGTAGGAAGCAGGAGAGCCTGGGAGATGCCACCTCAGCCAGCCTTGCCTTGGCACCCAGTTTTTGTACAAAAGTGATGGTTTCTCTCTTGGAGTTGGGGATTCTGCTTTGAGAGCTGGGCAGGCAGCTCTGAGCTGCTGGTGACTCTGTGAGCAGGGAGGGTGGTCAAGGTCTCATGGACTCCAGGGTTCCTGCAGTGGCTTTTGCTCATGGGCGAGCAGCAGCAACGCCTCTGAGGAAGGGAGAGCGTGGGCCATGTGTGGAGTGAGGGCATTGCTCAGAAAACACAGGAAAACTCACGCTCAGATGACGAAGAATGGCCCCTGGAAATCCTGGGGCTTCTTGTATGAGTCAGTGGAGGAGCAGGAATAGCAAGACCTCTCCTTATTGCAACAAAGGTTGGGAAAACAAACTGGTCCCTGTTAAGACTGACTGAGGCTCTTTATTTGCTGCTGGTGCCTGTGCCCAGGGCCTGGGAGCCCCTGGCTGTGGTGGGAGCCAGGGGTGCCCTCGAGCACTCTGAGCTCTCTTTGCTCAGGTCTTGCAGGAGGATAATCCATGAGAAAAACTGAGGTTATTCCCAGTTTACAAGAGGTCTGACTAGAGGAGAGGTAGGGTTTACAAGCTCATGTTTGCAGCAAGGATATGAATTACTGGCTCAGAATAAATAAAACAGCTGCTCTATGTTCAGAGTTTGGGCTGTGTTTTATGGTCATTTCTCAATGGAAGCTGTTGGCCAGTGTCTGTAGGTTCTGTGTCAGGCTGGGCTGGGCTGAGCTGAGCTTTCTAGTGCTCACAACAGCTTTTTGGTCTGTGACTGGTGATCTGAAGGTGCTGTGCTTGGAGCACAAGTTGCTGAGAGCACTGCGATGTGGCTGGGTTTGTGTCTGACTGTGCTCGGGGCAGGTTGGGGACAGGCAGGGACAGGCAGCCACCCACAGCCTCTGTCCTGTGCAGCAGGAGCCATCCTTGAGGTGCCCTTAGTTCTGGGCCTGGCAGTGGTGGAGGCATTCCCAGGAATCTGTCTCCCTCCTTCCCTTGGTGTGTGTCTCTGCCATGGTGGATTTGGGTGCAGGACAGGGTGATCCTGCAGGGATTTGGGGCTGGATGAGTCCTGCATGGGGCTGGGGGCTCAGCACAGGGCATTGCACTGAGTTCACCAGCCTGGCAGGGTGGCTGGTGACAGCAGCAGCAGCAAAGCCCATCTCCCCTGCCAGCTCTGGACAATCCCACACAGGCATGGGCGAGCTGCTGGGAAGGGCTGGGAGCTGCCACACCGGGCTCCATGCATGCCTCATCCCCCTCACTTGCTCTGAGGGAGGTGGGCAGGTTGTTTTTCTTTCTTTATCACCCAGTGAGCTTTAAACCCTGTGATTTGCATGGCTGCAGGCACCATCTGCTCCCTGTGCTGGCCTACAGCAGTTGGCTTGACCTGGGCTTATTCTG